GCTCACATTTCAAACGCCACATGCGGTCATCTTCACATATGTCACGCCAGAAGCGAGAAACCCGAGCAGCACGGACTATGTCAGCCATTGGGAGATTTGCGACAATTTGAATTGCAAGCTAAAGGAATATCTCATTATATTTACAAAAATTCAGAAGACAGATGGAAACCTCATGAACAACGAAAAGAAATAAGATCAAGTTATAAATCCAAGAATGCAACAGCCATCACATGAAAACACGTTCCAGTAAAACGAAAACTCCAATAACCTCCACAGGTAGATGTGAAAGAAAATCCTTCTGAAAATGAGGTTCTATCAGCTGGCGAACATGGCGAACATGCTGCAGTCCACAAGTACTGATCAATTGAAGAAGTGCATTGCGTTGACACCGACGGGACATTGCCTAAAAACAGCTGTGCAAAAAAAAGTCTTTCTGAATTGAATGCGGTCACTTCGTCCCAAAAACACAGTTTGCTAAGCAAAGTTGCTCCAAAAACTGCAGATCTTGCCCTAAACGCACTGCGAAAAGACGAGAAACAAAGTTCTCAATGAAAAATGCGACAAAAAATACACAGCTCCTGCGCTCCACTTACTTGGAAACCTTGACACGGAGAGCAAAACTGACAACAAGACTGTGGAGGCTTGCCATCGTTGCTCAAAAAAAAAACAGAGAGAGTATACAATACTTCCCAAATAATCTACTAAAAAAATCCGTAGAAAATTTGGGGATCAATTTTATTCACAGAGCACCTTTGCTTTACTTGGAAGTTCAAATCACAAACTACTGAGCGTGAGCTTTTGAATATCGTTGGAGCCGTACCACACGTAAGGGCCTCAATAGGCGAAAAAGAAAGTTCAAGAATGTGATAAACAGCCACAACCTGAAATTGGTCCACCCATGGGCGAATTAAATGAGCATCTTCAATGACAGCATGTGATGATTCTTCGTCAGAGTCCATTGAAAAACTGAAAAAGAAATCCAACGGGAGCTCATTTTCATAAATATCTTATACATCAAGACTGAATTGTGGCATATGCATTCACGGATAACGTCTAGGCTTTGTGGTATAAATACTTCCGTTTGAAATGGCTCATCAAACGATCTTCAGAAAAATTACTTTGCTCAAGATCGCAAGGCAATGAACTTGGAAACTGTTATTTGTTCATTCAAAATAGCGCCAGACGTCATCAGCTGACAAAAAAGCCAAGATGCGATGATCGAAAAAGATGTGCGCCGCCTAAGAAACCAGTTGGAAGAGAACTGCGCAAACCCCAATAGAATAGCACGTTAGCAAAAAAGTTTTCAGGCACGGCGCAAGTATTCTGCACATTCTCTTGTAAAGAATGATTGAATAGATGGACATGGATTAAAAAAAAACCTGATTTTTAAGATGGGTGAGGCTCGGCGTGGACTAACACTTCCTGGAATACGCCATCTACTTGAGCCTCGCCCAGAAAGACGCTGAGATCCTACACAAGCAATGGTTTATACAACGATTTGCAGAGGCTGTCATAATTGCGAAAAGGGCCTCGTTCTCCCAAAAGAATTAGGAACCAAATAAACAAGCCGAATCGTCAGAGCTCGAATGGCTTGGATAATAGTGACGGCGCAACTTGCTAGAGCTCCACCTCTACCACAGAATGAGAGTAAAATGTCGACAGCAACGAGATTAGGACCAAAACGCAAAAAAAGCGAAGCGAAGTGGAAGCACACAAACCTGGGACTTCTGGCATATCGTTTCCCTTGTGAGCGAGATCCATGGGTGATTTGCCGCTTCGAGGAATTCTAAAAAAAAAATGTATATGATGGCGAATAATCTTGACAAATACTCCGGGTATCTTCTCCGAAAGTAAGAACCAATCAAAAAGGATCATGAATCCCTAGTAACAAAAAATTCTTTTCATCCCAACTCGAAATTACATACACAGGTATTGGTATCTTCCGCTTACCAAATGTATCGGTGTAAATTCTCAGCTTCTTCAAAATTCACGACTAGCAGCGTTTAGGGTAATCACACTTTGCACTTCGGTTTGTAGTTCGAGTGTAGAGAAGATGCTATAGCAGGCTAGATACGTATCTACTACACACACCGCAAAGTATGACCCGACCCTAATCGCTGTGATTTTCGCATGGTGGCGGTGTGTAAACAACCACTTAAAGCAAGGGATTACGCTATGGTGGGGGTGGATTCACAGAGGAGTGAGGCGTTCGGGTGGTGAACAATGGGCAGGTGACGAAAGAGGTGAAGCAATCCGTCTAAAACACGCACAATTTGACCCTACGATTTGCTCGATGACATATGACAATGGACGAGCCCGCATCCAACTCAAAGATCGTTTGCACGGGCTAACTCGATAGCATTATCTGCCGTCAAACACCATGCCTTGATTGACAACGCTCTCCACAGAAAGTTGTACGTATGGCCCGCTGCCACGTGAAATACTCCAATCGACGATGTTGGCGACACATGTTTGGAGCGGAGCACAGTCGGAGGTTGTGTACAGTAATGATTGGCAATAAAAAATGCCGCATCTCGCTTTCATGGCTCTCGACTGTACGTAGTTCCAGGGGGTTGAAATATCCTTCTATTTTATAAAGCGCTAACTTTGTGTGTCGGTTTGTGTGTCTGTATGTGTGTGTGTATGTATGTATGTGTGTCCGTCCGCAAAATGAAGTGAGTGAGAAGGAAGCTCATGGGATAAACAAACCGCTAACAAATCGGGTAGCTTACAGGATTTAGCTATTAGTGTTTTGCAATGGCATGATTGTGATAGCATCCCCAACGGCTATATAAACACGCACTTAGCACACTTTCGGTCATTCGACAAGGTGATGCTGTGGTAGCCGGCGAGCAGAGGGGAACGAGGGGAGAGTAAGGAGAGGAGGGAGAAGGGAAAGCTTACGCAAGGTAGGGAGGTTCCGGCGCTTGCCGGGGGACCAATCTGGTACTCCCATAAAGCATACACACTTACCGTAAACCTTGCTTTAATCGAGGTTTGCACGTCGGCGCCGTGCTTGGTATAGGGGCACAGAAGTACAGCTTTTATTAAAAGCCAATAAAACCCGAACTTCAATTAACTGGACAAAGTCACACTATAAGTACAAGTATAAGTTTATTAAGTTTGCATGAGGCACACGTGAGAAATAAGTGAATCATAATTGAACAAGAAACAACAACAACCCAGACAATGTGCATGGAAGTTGGAGAATTTAGGTTTTTTTTATAAAACTTGGAAACGTGATCACTTCAGTCCAAGGGATGTTTTATGCCAGAGTTTGGGTGAGAAACATAACAGTTTAAACTTCTTTTAAGAAAACTAAAGTGCACTCCACTGCCGGCGGCCTCCTCTCCCCCCTCCTTTTTTTATTTATACAACTAGCTCAGAGTTTTATTCTATAACCCACCTTTGTTATTACGTTGAACTGATAACAGATAAATAAATAAATGAACAAAAGACAAGAGAAATAGTCGGCGGCTCTTATTTTACCAGAAGCGTATTCACCTCCTAGATTGGGGCTCTTGCATTAAAGCGAGTCGAGGCTGCCCGACTTTTTCAAACTCAGCATTCTGGAACGCAGCATATGGCGAGAATTTCCTAGTCTTTTGAAGCTGCATTAGGTCCAGCAAGTGATTGGAACATGAATACCAGAAAATTGAAATTTCCAACCAGTTATCAGGGAAACGAGCAGTGTCTGCCGAACGCGTTTCTCCTAATACTTGTGAAAAATTATCCAAGCTTATTAAACAAATTCATTTCGAACAAGAGAAATCTTGCAACATTCAATTTTGAAAACTATTTCCAAACACTGTTACCAGCCATTCACATCAATGAATCCAGTTCTGTAGTTACCAAAGAAGTTATGAGAAGATACGTGCGATCAACTGTATATAATTCTACTAACACGCTCCTAAACGGCGCCGAGGTTCTTCCCAGAGCGATCCTCAACACTTACCGAACACTGATGAACACCTCGAGATAAAGTAACAAACGCTAATATTAAGGAGACTAACCTGCTTCTCTTCTGAGCTCTCGTGGAGAGCGCCGACTTCCTCTGCAATGCTCTCAACAGAGCTCTGTGAAGTGGGCGGTGATTTACATGGTGTTACGCATTCACCTGACGAGCTATCCATCACCTATCACTGCAAAAGAGGCAGTTGAACTTCATAAAGTTCACGATTTGCGTGCGTATCATAAAGTCACGAAATGAAAAAAAAACGGTGATTCCGATATAACACACACATATTGTCAGATACATAACTCAATTCACGCAAAGGTTTCATTGAACAAACTAAAGTTCAATTTGCTGACTGAAGATAAGCATGCGCTTAATTTCTCGCTCTCGCTTATCACTTCCTTGTATCACGTGCTACATCACCTGAAGGTTATTCACGTATTTTCCGTAGGGTGACGTCAAACAAAAAACAAATGAAGGAATGACTAAGAAACATATCGTCAACATTCTGAACCTACAATTCTCAAAATAACCTATGTCATGGCACTCTCTGGTCTTACTGATCAGTCGACGAGAAAAACGGGAACTAATACATCACTCGCGCCATACATGCTTGAGTGGAGTTTCAAAATTTATTTTGCTTCTGAATCATCATAACGACAAATCGACTTCTCCAAATGTTGGACGTGACAATTTTAAAGAAGAAAAATGAGGAAATTAAACATACGTGGGTTCTTTTAGTTGACGCAAGCTGTAGAGTCGTGTTCATAGAAAAACATAAAACATGTGAAATATATAAACAATGCACCGGCATGCTTAATTGTCTCTGAAAGTTTGTCTGCGAGGTAAATGTTGTGGCCTGGTCATAAATATGACATTCGTTTTTGGACGCAACAATTTTTTCGAATTTTGAGCGGTCCCAACTTGCTTGAAAATTCTCGTAACAGACTTGGTCCCCATATTTGCGACTAGTATTATTGAATCTATCGATCCATCTAAGAAATACAAGTAAAACAATCCATGGGAATTTAAGCCTTCCTGGTCAGTGTCTTGTTAGAAAAACATTTATGCCCGAAGAACGAGCGATTCATCTCAAAAATTCTGCAAAAGCACGTGTATTCAAGATTATTGATGGAAGGATGTGGTTCACTAGGTCACTATTGCGCGTTTCGCGGCGCGAAACATTGTTTGGTCTACTCCAGTTAGGGAGGGGGGCATCATGATGCAGTTCTCCAGGAAAGCTAGGGTAACTCCGAGCCAAGGGGAGTGTAGCCAGTCCAGAGTGGCCGATGTCAGACTTTGCGATTGGAGCGATTGCGCACAAATTGCAGGAGCGACCGACGGATCGCTTGAGCGATCCAGGCCACAACATTTACCTCGCAGACAAACTTTCAGAGACAATTAAGCATACCGGTGCATTG